GCTATGCTTTAAAGGAGCTCAGTCATGGTTTGTGCAAAAGTTTAGCCTCAATTTTTCAAATTCGTCATTTATAATCCATGTTAATCTTCTCCATCCTTAGCCATCCTTGTTCCTTTATGGTTTATTATTATCTCTTTGGTGTCTTTCTATCTTATTAAACTGTTATTTTCAGGTTTCCTACCATTTAAAGGTAATTTTGTTTGTGGTCAAAATAACTCAAAATACCCTGACTGAGCTCCTTTAAGGCTTACGAGAGGTGAGTTTTTCAAGTAATATTAATATCAAACAACTGACCACTTTCCCAAACACTGAGAAGAGAGTTGAAAGTACCATGTGAAGTGGAGAATTTTTAATGAAATTCAAGGTGTAGCAAGTGGTGTCAAACACGGTCTTGAGTGAATGATATAATATCATCTCAATTGAAACTACATGTAAAACTAAGGAGAAAATGGAGAAATAAAATCATAAAAATATATGCTTATTAAGATCAGATATCCAAACACCATCACAGTCATGATTTCCTTTGTCTAAACTTGATGAATTACAGTAATTGAGCTTAGGAAGTTCTCCTCTCAAGAACTTTCTCTTACACAGATTACTGATGACAAGTAAAGTGACAGTGAGTGTATCGTGGATGTGAAGATTCTAAGTTTCTTTCCATTCTAGGGATGTCCCCACAATTTTTAGTGTTCTGCATCCTTTAGATGAACCAAGGCCAGTCATATCAAAAGTTCAAGGTACCATTCAGAAAATTTGATCTTTCCTTGCAATAGACATCTCTAAGAACACACCTTTACCTAGAACTGCTTTTGGTGGCAACGTTTTTACTAATTTATTAGATGCAAGACATGTAAAAAGTCCTGATAGTTGAATCTTCACTGTGAATCTCACTGTTACGATCTGGGCAGTAGGTGAAAATCTGCTGCAGAAAATTTCTACATACATGTACAGTGCATAACTGTGAGAAATGTTGGTTGGGAAAAACTCATCAAGAACATAAATCTGCAAAGATTTTAGTGATCTCACCAAATCTGAGTTTCATCAAGTTACTCTCAGCTAGAGCTTAGTAGACTTGATAATTTTAAAAGCATCATACAGTTAGAGAATGAGAAAATCTCACTAAGGTCTTGATGAAAATTTTGCAGGGAAAGTGTGATGGTCAGCAAGTAGTCAAGGGACAAATTTGCCAATATAGAAACCCATAAAAAACAAACTTTTTAAATTATATTTTATAGGAAAAATAACCAAAATCTGTGATCCAACAGTTAGTGTGGTGTTTTCATGTAGCAATCCTCCACTGGTCATGACATATGACTTTGTCATTGGATTACATTCGGTATGGCATGTAACCAAAGCAAGGGCTGAGGTAACTACATTACAGAGGATACTTCATGGCAATGCAAAGATATCGAGATTGTAATACCTTACAAGTGGTAAAATAATTATAATTGTTTTTAACACAAGAAAATAAAATTCATATCTTCAAGCCACCATGTAATTTCCTTTTTACTATAAAGGCATAACCTGGCTGTTTGCACAAATGACATCATTAATATCCTCACTAGTGGGGATATGATATGGTAAATATGCTACTTAAGTCAAGGATGTAGTTTGTTACAATGTGATGTATTTGCCAGTAAAACACTTGAAATTGTCTAGATATAATAAATCACATTGATCTACATGTACAGAGTCCAAACCATTTTGGAGACACAGTGGCCTAAATGATTAGATCGCTGGACTGTGGATTGATAAGTGGATGAAAGTGCTGGCTGGGGTCATTCTGTTGCATTCTTGGGCAAGAAAAACTCTCATGGCAAAATAGATGTGAAGTATCTAACATGACATGGACCTTTCAATCAATAGTCAGCACTACAAGCATGGACTACTGCCTTTCTCAGGAAGCATTTGTGGTACAAACCATTGTAATCCTTGTATTTGATTGTTTCCACAGGATTGTCCAGAGTCTCCAACACATGTAGACCACCCTGCTGAGTTGCACTTCAGTAACATTCTTCATCATCCTACTCCAGTGCTGACTGCTGGTGCACATTCTCGACTGTCTGTGGCCACTCCAACACCCTTCTCTCCCTTTCGATCCTTTACGCCCACATCAGCCATCAAGGCTCATGTGCAGTCCCCTGCTCCAATTCGTTTATTATCACCAGCACTGAATCAGATCTCTTTGAACAGGACAATGTCGCCTGCAACTGGTAGGTGACAAGTGTTCATTATTACATGTCAGATGCATGTACACTTGAAAGGAATGTCTACATTTCATTTATTTTGACTTGATTGTCCTTCAAACAATTAAACCAAAACTTTGCTGTCAATGTCTGCTTGTGAGCAGAACTTAGCTGTTATTTTAATGAAGTTACTGACTAAATACACGGTAGGATTCAAATATTTTCTTAAGTTTTTGCCATAAAAATAATTGGATTGATACTCAGTCGACACTCATTCGACACATGATCAACAGTCAGTTGATAGTTGGTCAAGTGTCAACCGACTCATATGCATTCATCAAAAATTAGTTGACTGTTGACTAAGATGTTGAAGGAGTGGCGATTGAGTGTCAACCAAGGTGTTGCTTGAGTGTTGATTGAGGGTCGATCAAGGGTACATGCATTAATCAAGGGTATCGATCGACACTAGACCGTGGATGCCTTAAGTACACATGATCCAAATAATCTCTCTAGACATACAGTTATGTAATCTAGGTGTATGAGAATGTACTGGTAGTAGTATGTACGGGTATTGTGCTTACTTCACTTGAAATAATTATTGCATTCTATACATGGAATGTACGAAGGGCTGTGTAGGACATAAATAACTTCTGTTAAATACAAACAAAATGGATTATTTTCCCCCACAGATTCTCCCTTAGGGATAGGATTGCGATCTCCTCTTGCTTTCTGCTCTCCATCTACATCCTGCTGTTCAAGCAAAGAGGAGTCATCCTGGGATAGCTTTCAGCCACTGTTGCCAGAAGTTTGTCTCACTCAGGTTTGGCAAGAAACTCAAATTGCTGTCAGGTAATATCTGTTGTTCTTGTGAAGTATCTATGAAATAATTCATATTTGAACTGCGGTAGTAGATGAAAGTGAAGTATGATCACTGCGATGATCATACTTCACTTTCATCTACTACCGCAGTTCAAATATGAATTATTTCATAGATACTTCGCATCATTTCACTCACGGGAAGATATGAACTCAATTAATTGACCTCGCTCCCAATGTGTGGCTNAGTTTGGGTTGAGTTTGGTGGTAGTCCTGGTATTATAGTCGTGGTATGATTATTATTCCAAATTACAAGTATGTCATTTGAGATCAGACACAATTTATATCTAATATCATCTTTGTGCTAAGGACCCTAGATATGTAGAGACAATAAGTTTGTTAAGTACTTGAGGAACTGCCCATGATAGAGTAGATGTAAGGGTTACGTTTGGCTCACATCCATGGCCATTTGCAGTAAGTTGCTTCCATTGAACTCTTTTCCCATCCAAGTCACTTTCTGTGTATTCTGATCACCCTCTGTCTTATTTTTAACCAGGTATGGTACCAAAGGAAAAGCTTCAAAAGCATTCCTTACACAAGACAAGTTTGGTGCTACCTTTCTGTGCTATCTTTTGGGACAATTGGATAAATTAAGGTAATACTGGTAACAACTTTCCCTCAGCATTGTGATGGAATTTTAAGTATTCACTATTGCTACTGTATCAAATTTAATGTACAAATGAATCATACACAAGGATTTGTCCATAATCAGTTCTGGAAATAACAGTCGGTCATCAGACATTGCCCAAGCAAATTTTGGAAATTATCTGTGACTTATTTGCTGTATGTATGGTCAGACATCATGTTTGAAAACCTAAAAGACTAAGCTGTTGAATGTGAGGGTCCTGTGAACAGACCATTTATGTATTTACATCTTGAAATGTTTGAATATATAGTAACAATAACTGTTTGTTGTGTGTTTCCTGTGTCACAGAGGAGTGCAATTTACTCAAGAAGGTGAATGTCTAGAATTTACGAATGCATTTGAAATACCCGCTAGAGATGCTGTCCCAATGGAGGTAATGTCTGTGTTAGTATTTAGTACATCTGTAAACCCCAGTTGTGGCGGGAGATGACAGATTCGTTTTCTCTACAACTTCTTTCACATAATCATTTGGCTGATCACAACTGCAAACAAGGCTAGTGATTGTTCTTACATGTAGTTGGTGAAATGAAATCAAGATCTTCCTTAGAATGATGTAACTGAAAATTGTAACATTATAGCTAAATAGTTTTGTTTTTTTGACACTGAATTGGAAACCACTCTTGACATAATTAAAAGACTGAAGTTTTAAAATCTATGATATCTGGAGAACTCATGTTCTGACTACACAGTTCTTATTTTCTAGAAATTAAACATGATGCTTGTTCTGGAGCCAAACTGTACACTGGTTATTTATAGTGGAATGGTGAAGGTAATGAAAATAATATTTAAAAACAATTGCAATTTATTTTTATGAGAATAGGTCTCTGAATAGGTAACCACCACTATGTAGACTTTAATGCATGTATCCAAGTACAATGCATGTACACATTGAGCAGACGTCTACAGGAGAATTGAGACTACCATGTTATTTTCTATTTAGAATTTTTATTACTTAAAATAAATTATTGATTAAAATCCTTTTGAATTACATGTATAAACATAGATATAACAGTAAGCATGCCTGCAGGTAGCACAGGCTACTCTAGCTGGGCATGCTTTAGCAATTACAGGTAATCAATATAATATAAAGACCATTTTACACTATGAAAATGAAGAGGGGAAAAAGACGATCTTGTAACCATAAATAGAAAAACTAGAAGAAAAACCATTACATTGGCCTAGATTAGAAAAATACTTAGTCTAGCTAAATTAACTTTTGTACTTCAGCAACTCATTATAGATGGTCAGAATTTCTGAATATCCCTATGAAACATTTCTAAGTTCTAAGTGACTGGAAGCAGCTCAAAAAATAGTTGTCTGAAAAGCAAGAAGGTTGTTTTGTACTCTCCACTTCATGGAAGTGGACTTAAGAAGATAATGTCATTGACTTGCTGATAAATGTAGGGAAAATTACATTCAGTGAGTTCTGAAAAAAGTTTGGCAATATACCTGGACAGCATTTTAAAATATTATAAACCGGCGGCATTTGGTTGTCAATGTCAGTGAGTCCATTGTATATATCAAAAGGAGGAGTCCCTGATTACATCAACTGGAAAAATAGCAGAGGGAAAATCAAATTCAAGCCTTTTGCTAGCCCATTAATATGTGCATGGGCTTCCAGAAGCTAAAAATGGATGCTGATAGATCTGGTTTCTAGGTTTGGCCAGACTCCTGAAAGTATGATAAGGAAAAGTATGATATATTTCCGTGAGTGTTTGTGCTGGTCAAAATTTGTGGCTACATGCCATTTTGTTCACCCAGTCTGCAACGTTAGCAAGTTGATCTTAACCCAGAAAACTTGCAAGGAATAAATGTGCGCATCTTGAGCTGGAAAATAACTTTGCCAAAATGTTGTCTGTGAACTGTTTGGTCTTTGTAATGCACCTTCAACGTTTCAACATTTTGTGAAGAGACGTGTACAAGTAGGTCATGCCATTGGCTGTTTAAATGATCAGAGTGCATTGAAGAGCACCTGTGGTTCAACTTGACTATGTACTACACTGTTCAAATGTTAAGTGGCATTTTTGGAACTGAGTTTGGAGACAAGATTGACTTGAGAGTCTGCATGGTTGTCATGACCAGTTTTGGTTTAGGGCCAGTCTTAATTTTTCTGAACCCACTGTAAGAACTAAGATTACGCTGCACAGTGCATTGTCCATAAATTATTGTAGTGACCTACTATTGATAAGATTAACAAAAGTACAATGCCATCTCATTGACATATACTGTCAACCTTCAGGGTTGTCAAGTACATTTACCAATGTTTCCTATTATCAAAGTGGATGAATCCTCACAATTCAATGCCCCTGACAAGGTAATCAGATATTTCATGGTTTTTTTTTTGTTATTTTTAGTGTCATTAACATTTTATAGTGTGTGTACATGTAGTCCCCTTTCTGCTAGGGGGAATACATGTATTTACTTCCCCTCCAGAAATCCTTCATCTTGCATGTTACTGTCTTAAGTAATGAATATCTTATCCTATTTCCTGCAGCTTTTATCATTCACATCCATTCAACTGGACAAGAGTGATGTGGACATGGAAGGTACAGTAACAGAAAAAGTTAACATTTCACTCATTTCAGTGCCTATGTATGATACTGTATACAGCAAAATGCATATTTTGTCCCTCAATAGAATCATTTTTAAGAACATTTTTATACATGTATTTGACATCATATTTAGGACTCATGCCTGACTTATTTTGCAGATTTGGAAGCTGTAAAATCCAAGACAAAGCCGTTGCAAGAGATGAAAGTTACATCTCTCAGAGATGCAGTATCTACCACCTGTAACCTTGTAAGGAAGCATTGAGAACATGTAGTTAAAGAGTTTAAATGAAATTAAGAAGTGATCATAATGTTCAGTTGTCTTGGTATAGTCAATAAAATGAAATTGAACCAAATTCTAACTAAAGCTAGTTAATCACAAATAAGTTTAAATCCATGGATCAATAATAGTTCAGTCTTATTTATATACATGCCCTTGGTTGGGTTCAACTGCAAATTATTTGATTTATTTGGCATTAGTACAGGGAGTCGGGAAGTAACTGCAGCAGTTGCATTCCAAATCGAGAAGTCAACCAGACATGTCAATACAGGATAATGTAAATGCTGAGCAGCAGTGTACATGTAGCGGTAGAATGATGGTAAAATACATGTATTTTGAAACAATTTAGGTAGCCTCTGCTATAAGCCTACTGGCTTTCTGGAGATCTCTTTGCCCAAACTAAATCGTTGTACCTGTATTCTTCTTTTTTATTGTTCTAAATAAATGATGATGATGACGATGATGATGAACAAATGATGTACCGTGTGATAGAGCTTTGCTTATTAAATGGAGGGATGTGTGGAGTAAAGCCCTAAGTGACTTTTGGGAAACTTTGAGGTAACCAGCACTGAAATACCTCCAGGCAATCTTGTCTTCATTACTGTCTAAAAAGAACTAGTAATAATTACTAGTCGTTTCAGGCAATAACTAAAGCCAGAGTAAACTGTGAAAATTGCTGGTAGGTATTTCAGTCCCGGCTGCCTTACAATTTTCCAAGAGTCACTTATGGCTTTATTCCATGCACCCCTTCAAATGTTAAAGGGGCAATTCTGTGCTTAATTGGCTAAATATGCCTTACCTGATTCATAGTTTGGTAGAGGAAACATGGAGTGTGATGAAATAAGAAATATCTTGAAAAATGTTCCATTGTACTTCTGACAGATTGCATATAGTTAATATACTAACAGCAATCTTTGTAAATTTGTCTTGATTAGGTATTGACTGATGGGTCAATCTGTAGAATTACTCTGCCCATGTTATCCCAAAATTTGGCAGGTTGGTAATACTCTAAACAAGCNAATTTTTTTTAGCAATATTTTGTCAAGTGACCCCAGATGCAAAAGGCCTATTGACGTTGTTCACGGCACTAGCGCGATGGTTGCTTAAATTCCAGAGACGTTACCTAGCAACAACTTTAGACCGCTGATGTAACCTCTGATTGGAAACTCTCTTGTTCCTCTCAGTTTGCTGAAGTGGTTTGGTTTTTCTTGTTTCAACAGATTGACAGTACCTGGATAGTTTACAACAAACCCAAGAATAACCAGCTAACAGAGGAACATGCTGGGTTCCTCATGGCTCTAGGCCTTAACGGCCATCTTAAAAACTTGTCCTACATGAATCTACACGACTACCTGTGTAAGGTGAGAGGTACTTAATGTCATAACATCACGTACTTTATCACGACGTATCCTGCGTGACAAATCATAAGTACTTGTGTAAAGTGAGAACGTCTCCGCAATACAATCACTAGCTGTCGTAGAAGTAAATACATCATGTTTTTAACTGCAGATTATGCCACAAAAATCATAACAAATGTGCAAAATCGTTTGCTCACTAGTTTGTTTATTACGTCTTCCTTCTTTAAATTAGGGTCATGAACTTACTACTGTAGGGCTTCTCCTCGGCACAGCTGCTGCGAAGTAAGTGTCTGTGTTAGGGTTTGTTTAGTGTGAAGGTTCATCTTCTAGTCATAAATCTTTAAGAGAGGTTGCAAAAGCAATTATGTTTGTACAATAGAGAGGTTTTCAGTGAGTGACGAAAGTAATCAGGCAATTACTTTGGTTTTGGTTTTGGTTTTTGAGATTGGCTGAGCAGTGTAATTGGTAAGTAATTGATTTGGTTTGGTTTTACGACACTGGACTGAAAACGGAGCAATATAATTTGAATGAAACTTTTTCGAGCGAGCTAGCGAACGAGCGAACGAGCGAACGAGATGTAATTTTACTCACACATTGTGCCCTAAAGAAGTGCATATTCTGGAAACGTTATGCTGAACGATTTAATTGACTCTAACAGAAAGATTTCATTCCAAGTAACTCTAAAGCTAACAGTAAATTTCTTGTTCAGCCCCAATGTAGCAGGGATTTTAGTTGACCAGGGCAACTTGGGTGCGCCTTGACCAACACCCAAGACTAAAACGTTGAGTATGTTAGAGCAGAACGTGGGTTTAGAATTATGTTTACTGGGGTAAAGTAAAATACGACCTGTCAGTAGTTGCATTGATGACTGGAAACATTTATGATAAACTGCACTTGCTCGGTTGAAGATGTATATCAGACACGCGGGACCGTGTTTAACCACATTTTTTAAACAACCGAAAAGCGCAGCCGAGTATTTTTGACGAACGTGGATGTGGGTCTATGGTTATTTCAGGCATCCATTACTTTAGAAAAAACCAAATAACTTTTTTTCTGTGTTTAAAATGTACTTTTTTGGTAACTATTAGTGCAAGTAAAGGTGGTTTTTTGTTGTCGTTGGGAAATTTGTTGCAACGTCGTGTCGAGTGTTTGGTGTTTGTTTTCAATCAAAGTTACTGAGGAGAACACTAAGAAATGAAATTATGGTAATTCAGGTCCGACATCCAAGCGGTCAGGGTTAATGAGTTTGAGAATACAATTAGTGGAATGCTCCCTTGCTCACTAAAGTAATCAATAGTAGAAATTGTGGATAGCTATGACACCACTAGTTTCGTTTGACTGTCTATCACCTTCTCAAACTCATTAATAATTCATCAACGCTAACCAAAGGAAATCACGACTGTTACGGTGTTTGGATACCTGATCTCAATTAGCATAGATTTTTACGATTTCATTTCTCCGTTTACTTTTTACTTTTAGTTTCGATCGAGAAGATATATCAAACACTCAAGACCGTTTTTCACCACATTTACAAACACTTCGAATTTCATCAAAAATACTCCGCTACGCGTCGTATTTCAACTCTCTTCTCGGCGTTTGGAAATGTGGTCAAACACGGTCTTTCGTGTTTGATATATCACTTAAACGTTCATTTCAGGCGTGGCACGATGGATGTGACGACCACTAAAATGCTGAGTATTCATATTGACGCTCTTCTGCCGCCAACTTCAGCCGAGCTTGATCTGCCTCACTCTGCTCAGGTGGCCGCCATATTAGGAGTGGGGCTGGTGTACCAAGGAACTGCACAGCGGAGAATGGCGGAAGTACTTCTTTCAGAGATAGGTGATTGTTTATGAATTTAGTGACATGAAGAATCATCGCAGTCATGTACGCAACTCAGGAAGCTGCTGATCGCCTAGCGTATCTTCGCTGATCTTTCACTTCTTTGACGGAGCTTAGTCACGTCATTTTGAATTATTTTGGCCTCCTACAAAATAACCTTTAAATTGTAGGAAACCTGAAAATGAAAGTTTATTGAGATCGAAAAACACCAAAGAGATAATAATTAACCTTAAAGGAACAAGGATGGTTAAGGATGGAGAAGATTAACACGGATTACAAACGACGAACTTGAAAAATTCAGACTAAACTTTTCAAAATGCCCAGACAGTGACGTAGCTCCTTTAAATCTCTCTCTCGCACTTCAAATATATACCTCATATATTTTTTCCTGATTATTATAAACTTGGAAAAGTGAAGATGAGTCAGGATAAGGGTTTTAGAGTTCAGTGGATCATTCAACAGATTCCTTGCCCATCGCTCTGTCAGGAATCTGTCTTTGATTCAGCAGCTACTTATTTCCTAATTTCACTTGTCACCATTTGATTACCCATGTTAATCTTCTGAAATATTAATTATTACTTGTTTTGATTGCACAGGAAGACCACCTGGTCCCGAAATGGAGAACGCTGTTAACAGAGAGTCTTACTCGTTAGCCGCCGGCCTAGCCCTAGGACTTGTCATGTTAGAGGTATTTGCCACACGAAATCATTGCGGTCCAGCCCCTATTAGCGGTTTTCAATTGAGTATCGTAAAACCAAAACCAAACCAATTGGGTACCGATTAGACTACTCAGCCAATCTCAAACCGTAGTAAAATCAAAACCAAAACCAAAGTAGTTGTCTTATTAGTTTCGACACTCAATTGAAAACCGCTCTAAGTGTCCACCCCTATTAGGCGGCCAGTTATCAAAGTCCCGATGAGGGCGTTTCTATGTTTTTTACCTCTGTTAAGCGGCCAACCCCTTTGAAGCGGCCACTGTCCATTTCCCCAAGGGTGGCCTTTTAATAGGGGTTGAGTTGTAACACTAAATTAATCAATATCAATTAAACTTGATTACAGAAAAAAATCACTAAGGAACGTGGCGGACAAGAAACTACAGAGCTTATATGTGATTCAGCTTCCCCAATTGATATAAATTGAGATACATACAAGTTGTTCGAAACGTTACCATAGCCCTGATTGGTTACCTTTCAAGACATCGCGGCTCCTCATGGGTAACTGCGCCTGACTTTTCACGCAAGTTTCGAAATTTTTAGGGAGAAAATGACACTCTCTTCCCTCCCTGATACGACGGAAGGAAATGCATCCAATGGGTGCACACTCGCAGCATTGCACATAAACGAATGCAGTATGTTTGTGAGATCGCTTAAGTGTTTTTGTGCTGTCTTGATTGGTGTTGGTAACATACTCAAAGTCGCCCCAAACTCACCATTGAATCGCGCCCTCGACACGAGGGGCGGTTTATCGACATTTGCGTTCGTCAAGCAGACATGAGGAGAGAAAAAAAATGTACTAAACAGCACTCTACTGATGTACCACCAGACTCTCTCAACTTAAATTAGAAGAAATATATGGCGACTTGTAAGGAGAATTGACATTTTGAGTCTGGGATTTAAAGAATACTTGATATTTTCAGCATGGCAGCGAGGCAGCCAGTGTAGCGGACTTGAAGATCGCAGATCAGTTGTATCACTACATGGTCGGTGGACAAACCAAACCTCAGGTCAGATGATTTTCAAAGAAACTCTACCATATCGTTAAAGTTTGAGAATGGTAATTGAAGTTGCTAGTAAATGACTGTTTCATTTGTGACTGACATTGAAAACAATTCGTGTTCTTTAAGCGTCAAATGTATTTAGCACCGTTGTGCTAATTGGGACATTGTAAATAAAGAAACAGATATTGCAGATAGAACATTTTAAACTATTAAGAATCCCAACCAATGCGGTCGAGGAGTTGAACTCGTGACTTTCGAGGACAAATCCATATAGCGTTAGGTTGGAGGGTTTGAACCAGGGTATCTTCCGGAATTTAAATCCAGCGCCCAAAACCACGCGGCCACACCGCCTTCACCATCGCAGAAAAGGTAGTGTTGCGATGGACTAGCACGCGATCTATAGGTGGATATCAAATATACCTAGTTGCTTTGTGCTACAGAAACCATGACGGGTCTCTAAACTCAAAAACAGAATTTACCTTTACTTGATTTGTAGCAACCTTTTTCTCTCTGTCTGTAGACTGGGACTCAAAAAGAGAAGTTCAAATCTCCAAGTTATCAAATTAAGGTAATTACGTTTTCTGTTTATTTCCTCAGTACATTTAAACCTTGATATAACGATAAAACCATCCAGAACCGGTCATTCTTTAATCAGTAACTATATTAGAGAAAATGTCATGTAACCCTGATGATGGTTCATAACTTTAGATCTAGCTGGTTCACAAAAGTGTTACATCAATCAGTTGTGTATAAACGCAATTACTTGCTCTTTTGGGAATGGCTGTTTTTCGACGTAAACCGTGTCAAAAATATTCCGAATAAAGTTACGCTGTTTAAGTCAATGGAGGAACTCAGCTTGTCTAACTCTAACACTGGTGCTGTTCGTAATCATATCCTTTAAGTACGTTTTACGGCGTTTTCTCTGCTAGGAAGGTGACAGTGTCAACATCAACGTGACTGGACCAGGTGCTACTCTAGCCCTTGGATTGATGTTCTTGAAGACCAATAACAGGTATGTACTCCATGTAACGTTACTGAATGGTGTCTGCCTATATCATTTTGTGAATGTACTATAGAGTTCTTTAATTCACGCGACACGAGCATGAGACATTTGGTTACCCTGCTAATTTTGTAAGGGTACGGGTTGCCTCATAAAATACATTCAACATTTACAGGTATCTGATTGGATACAATCCATTCCTAAACTACTTAAAGGAGGCAGTGTGGCTGAGTGGTTAGGGCGTTGGACTTGAAAACGGAGATCGCGGGTTTAAGTCCCGTTCTGACCACTAAGTGGAGTTGTTTCTGGGCAGACCCTAGTTCAGTCAACTCTTCGGTCATGCTTGTAAATAGCCAACTGGTCTGCCTCACGCCAGTTGGGATTTTTAAGCCTATTGTGTTTAGCTGATGTATTTGTTTCTTTCAGTTTAAGTGGCGTGCCTGTGAACTAGCTGGGTGTAGCTAAGCGCACTGACCACTATTAACACTGAACATTTGAACATTTGGGACTAGCGACAACTAGAGACGTATTCCTTTTCAAATGTGAAGACGTTGTTCAATTTTTCGAACCCTGCCTCCACCAAGGCAAAGTTGAAATATTTAGCCCTCGTTGGATGGATCATCATCACCATTTTGGGAGGTTTTGGAAGAGGAGGGTGGGGATGGGGNGGGGGGTGAGGTTAAGACGAAAAACATTTGTTAGCGAAAAAGGTAAGATGTCCGGCCCAAGGCTTTTGGACAGAGTATGTTAGGAGGGAACCCTTGCCACATAATTGTGCAAACATTACATTTCAAGAAATATGAAAAAGCAAGGAACAACATTTTCAAGGATCAAATATCGATTCGAGTCAACCTCAAATGTCATTATGTCCTAGATCTGTCGCAGCTTGGTTTGATGCTCCCGACACTCAGTTCTTGTTGGACTTTATTCGTCCCGACTTTCTCCTGCTCCGGGTGAGTTGTGTTTCTCTTGTGTACGCGCTAGGACAAGTACAGTGTTTGGCAAAATCGTGTTTTAATTATTTCTGCCAGGCTCAACAATTTTAACTGGGTATGATTTCAATGTAGTCGAACCTTTCCCCACGTAGTTAAGTTGCAATGACGTTTCGTAACGTAAACTGACGTGCCAACAGTGTACTCGCGAATGAAATTTTATAATTCGCCACCAGGAATAGGTAACTCGTCTGTAATTTTTCGTGGGTTTACCAGAGTCACATAAACGGATACAGTTTTAAGAGTGCATATAGTTTGGGTCTTACATGAGCACCACGATTCGTTTTAGTATTGACCATTGAAAGCAGTGTATGTGTTAACTGACATCCCGCAGTGTGTTTAATTATTATGTTTGATTTCTGCAGCTTCTGAGCCGAGGTCTGATCATGTGGGACAGCATATATCCCTCCACAGAGTGGGTAGAGAGTCATATCCCAGCGGTAAGACATTACTGTGACAGTGTAACCTTACTGTCAGTAATTAGGGAGCTTAAGCAATGACGTCGACGACGTCAAGGACAACGCCTAGTAAAAAATGGATTTATGTTTTATCTTCGAATGCCGCAATTGTCAAAACCAGTTCAGTACACCTGTCGGTCTAAAAACTTGCTGGGGCTAAATATAAATGACAGCGTTCAATTCGGAAGTAAAATACAAAAAAGGCAGCCATCACGGTTCACCTAATCCAAAATGTGCAGAACGTGGTTATTTGGCGTTGCTGTTTTGCAGCATATGGCAGAGAAATGTACAAAGATTTACAACGCACGTGCAGAGCAATGGCCAATTTCCTCTGTGAGACGCGCCTGCAGGGAATCATGGTAGTTGCAATTGTACTAATCAAAACAAATATCCAGTACAAATATCTAGCAAATTTCCAGCCATGAAGTCTCTTCTCTTTCACTCCATCACTATCTTAAATAGAGTAAAATTCGCTGTCGATAATGAAGAATACGGATCCATTAAGACGCTTTATTTTCTGTGTCACCTACATTGCAACCATGGAGTGAAAATCGTCTTCGTTTCCTTGTGATAATTGGAGACACTTTTATGTTCAGTGAATGGGTTTTGGGCGACGTGCATGATGTTGGTCTCTCAGTTCATCGACCCAAAATGTTTGATTTCCAATTTGTTTTACTCGCAATAGATTATTCGTCAGTGTGATTCCAGTGCCACAGGGATCGAGGAAGTGAATGCAGACATGGACTTGGAAAGTCTCAGGTATTTATTGGATTGTCAGTCTGGTTCAAATTAGCATTGATGTGTTGCGTTCTGGAGCAGGACAACTATCCCTGTCACTGTTCCCCTCTCTGCTTATTAATCAGCAATAGTTTCTGACATCATTGTTGACGTTTTAGCTCAGTAGCATCTCTGGCGTACTAAGGGAGTAGGAGTGGTGGAGTGGTGAGAGCGCTCGCCTCCCACCAATGTTGCCCTGGTTCGATTCTGGCCCGGTGCCATATGTGGGTTGAGTTTGTTGTTGGTTCTCGCCTTGCTCCGAGGGTCTTTCTCTGGGTTCTCTGGTTTTCCTCACACAAAAACCAACATCTCCAAATTGCAATTCAACCAGGATAGAGGACCTACATGAAAACCACTTAAGGCTGATGTGTTATTGTGGTTTCCTCTCTAAATGTCGTTAGTTAATTTTTTACATTATTATCAAGGCAAGCTAGATAAGAATTGGCTCCACACATTTCAAGAGCTCGTGAAATCTAGTAATTGGTGAATTGTCTAGCTCTTTGGATGTAACATCAGTTTATGTAGACATTGGCTTTCAAAAACTATCAAATTTCTCGGTGAAAAAAGCGCCAATAAACCCGTGCATTCTTTGTAAAATTTTGAACTTTTTGACTTGCGTCATCAGTCTTTGGACAGCTTATCGTACCAGACCTTTTCAGTAATCAGAGCTGAAAAGGCTAATAAACTAAAACAAAGATTCCGTTATAAGTGGCGAGAAGAAGAAGCCATCACGTCTTTTATCCACATCCGTTGCACATAAATCACTTTAAAAAAAATAAAATAATATACTAAAAACTGTAAACCGCGGTAAAATGGCGGATGACTGACGAGGCTTGAAGAGCAAAATGTATTTCAAACTGCTGCGATTTACAGTTTTTGTATATTTATTTTTTTATTTTTGAAGTGGTTTTAAGTTCGTCAGATGTGGATAAAAGACGCGATGTCTTGTTCTTCTCGTTCTATAAAATTCCAACACATTCCTGGCCTGGCCAATTCAAATTGCCCCAAAGCGTTATAAATGAACTTTGACAGATACTCTGGGGGTTACCTGCATCGGACAAGCGTATTATTTAGAGAGAGAATCGAATCTCCTAGTTTCTTCATGCTTTACAAACTGGGCTGAACGCCGATTTTGTCGACAGTGCGAATGGTTTAGGATATTACCGTAGCCAACAATGTCTTCTCTATCACTTTGTTCCTTTTAGTCAAGCAAATGTCAACATTATCGCCGGCTGTTGCATGGCCATGGGCTTGAGATTTGCAGGCTCTGCCAATCAAGAAGCTTTCAACTGCTTGGTATGTTATCTGTTCTGCCATCACAATAATCTGCTTGGCGTCGTAAAAGTCGTTTTCTAATCGAGTAGAAGGAACTGAATATAAAACCGTGTAACTAACACACGTGAGAAGCAGCGACATGGTAACGTCGTGGCTTCTAAGTGTTTCTCTTATGTTTTCCTATTGTTCAGAAACGGTTTTTTGTTTTATTTGATTTCAAGAACCTCATCGAATTTACATTTAAAGAGGTATCTATACAATGTTAGCAAGACGTTTTTTAGCTCTTCAGCTTATACTGGGCTGTCACTTTTCACCAAGGATCCCAGAAATGCAACTGAATGGAACAGTAATTTTCCGGGAATTTCTGTTGGCAGTTTTTGAAATTTTAAGTAGCTCCGTTGGTACAAACTGTCAGAAATTTGCACCATTTATTCATTTCTTCCATAACCAGTCTCTTATCAAGTAATGTAATAACCGTAAAACAAAACAAAAAACAGTTGGTTCGCTGGTTTTTGGAAGCCCTNGCTTTCATTGCCAGCATTAATTTTTTTTGTAACCGCTTAATAAAGGTTTCACTGTATATTCTTTGCGTCCAAAAACATCATAGAAAATATGCCGTAATTTGTCACTGTCTGGGATTTCAATGTTGGCAGGTCATGGCGGGAACTGGTAACCTTGATGTACTGCGGATTGCTCGTCAGCTGCGCAAGAGACATTCCCCGGATGTACCGTATGGAAGTCACATGGCTGTTCACATGGCAATTGGTCTTCTGTTCATTGGAGGGGGAAGGTAACATTTCTTTTATGAAATACTCTTGCACTGATTCTTTTCACCAGAATGTATCAAATTAGGTATTGGCGACATTGGTAAAATGTTGGGGAATATTTGGGGGGAGGGGCTTGGGGGAAGTCGACGGGAGGGGTCACTAGATTGCGAATGCTGACAGATTTTTGCGGAACTGCCTGTTGTTGTACGCCGTGGAAAGCAGCCGTTTGCGAAGACGAGCCGAGAGACGATTTACGTGACGTTACAAATGAAAGTGCGAAACAACAGATGAAAATCCATCTGCGATCTGTTTTCTGCGATGGACTATAGCATCCCATCTAGGGAGAAGTAGAAATACTTCTGGTCACTTCATATAACAGAAACCGGAGATAAATACAGTCTGTGTTCACCACCTGCAGGACTTGTAAGAAAACTCATCTTATCTATTCTTGGGTCTTTTCCGCCCGTGGTGTATACAAGTTTTACCTTTTCGTTATTGCCTTTTTATGACATTACTTTCTACAGGTTCACCCTGAGCACAAGTGGTCCATCAATTGCAGCGTTAATATGCGCTTTTTATCCGAGATTTCCGATCTCTAGCACTGATAACAGGTAATAATTTAACTATGCTACCCTGAGGGTTTGTTGCTCACAAATCGCTCTCTCTTTTGAGATGTTCATTTGATGAATGATTGATGTGGAATTAATACACTGAAATCAATGTGGTGATCAAGAATTCAGTCATTGACAATTCCGTGCGGTTGGTTGGTGTCTCTCTTGTCCTCAGTGATCCTTATAATCACTGAATTTTCGTTGATCGCTTGGAAGCCGGCTTAAATTATCCGTTTAATGTATTTGTGTTTTCAGGTACCATCTGCAGGCGTTCCGACATTTGTACGTCTTGGCGACTGAGCCTCGAGTCCTTGTTCCTCGTGAGGTGGACACTAACAAGGCTTGTCATGTTCCGCTTGAAGTTACACTTAAGGTTTATACTCTTAATGGAAAATTATTTTTTTGTGTGATGTGTGCTCTCCGTACACTCGTGAAACGGTACCCAGAAACAGACATAAGTGTATAAAAGTTGTCATAAGCGCTCGTGACGCGAAAGAAAATATTTGAAAAGCTCTTTATTTTAGCTTCCCCACTCCACGTTCGCTTCTTTCCCTGGCCACGCACTCCTGTTTCCCCAGTCACGCATTCCTGTTTTCCTAGTCACGCATTCCTGTTTCCCTAGTCACACACTCCAGCTTCCCTGGTCGTGCACTCCTGTTTCTCTACCCACCTTTGCCAAGGTGGCATTTTTTCTTCTCGTCACTCATTCCTCTCCAACGTTTTTGGGAGAGTAATGCGTGACGAGTCTAAAGAAAAGTCTGCGTAGGAGCCTAAGAAATTACCCGTGGGTCAGAAGCAAGGATGTGTCTCCCGGTGACCCTGCGATAGACATGCATTCCATCCAGGGNAACAAAAGTAGTGAGGTCTTTTCAGCTCATTTGAAACTTTTTTACCGCTTGTAAGTTCAGATAAGCCAGGCTTGTAGAAAGCAGTTCATTATGAAAATAAGCGAATCAGCATAGTCAACAACTTTTCGACATCGTTAACTATTTACTATTTTTAAAAGTTAACCATTTTCGCTTGCAAGTTCCATCGGAAACAAGACTTCCTTCCTTCCTCCCCGCCCACCCAATACCCCGTGCGAAGTTATACTCCCATGGCCTATAGCCTGGATTTTACGGTAGTCGTACTATATGTTGGACTAGGTAGCATCGTGTACAGGTTTTTCTTTACCTTGCATCTGACGCTTGTCAAAAAAAGTTGTAGAATTGTTTAGTTACATTAGACACTTTTCACGTTCACTAGGGACATCGTAACATCCTTGCCAAGACCTTTGCTGCGCAAACGGATCAGGTAAGAAGCCACTTTGATTTTGTTGATGTCAGAATGAAAATTCGATAACCTATAAAACTGCACTGAAGTTTGATGTCGATGTGAACAATACTTAATCAGTTGGACAACTCCAGTACGGTACTCGAACTGTTTACACACTAGCTTCTACCACTATGTCAGTCTTTATCTAAACAACCAGAAACCTGCGCGTAACTCCATGAAAATATTTTGTTATTTTTTTTCTTTGTAACAGCTCTCTTTTCTCATTTTGGTATTGTAGTGTTCTGTAGACATCCGGGACTCCCGTAGCGCGGGAAACGGTATTCACGCGAGGAAGCGGGAAGCGTGCTTGTGTGTACAAGCGTGTGTTTTGAGTGCGTCTGTGTGTTGCTCGAGTTTCTGGCCTTATTGGCTTCTAGGAATACTTCAAGAATCTTTTGTCTGTACGGTTAAATTCTAAATACTTAGTGACTGTGTTTCGATAAAACTATGCAACATCACTAGGAACGTTTTCTCTTTCTTTGTTAAATAGACAGAGGTGGTGCGGAGCTTTTCATCAGATCCGAACCTCATAGCGCTGGCAGAGTTGTTCGGTGACAAAGATAATTCAAACGACAGGGTAAGCTGACGGGAAAGAGACTGAGATAATTCAGGAGAAAAACAACTGACAAGAACAGTAGAGGAATTAAGCATGCCAATTTTTCAAACTCCGGCATTTTCTCTTGCACAGGCTAAATCTCTTATTCTTAATTTAAATTCACACTTGTTACAGTTAATATTACATTTACAGGCGGGCCAACATAATGCCAGTCCGTAAAGCGCTTATTTCGCTACCTATGTGGTGTAAAACAACCTCAAATTAGAGCGGTTTTCAATTGAGTGTAGAAACCAAAACCAAGAAAATCACTCTAGCATGAAAGACTATATAGTGAAGAAATCAAAATTCGAAGTAATTGCATGTAGCTGACGCAAGCGTGTGAAAACGTGTGCGAACGCATCAGGATTGGTTTTGGTTTTACCAAAAACTGGCGCGATCAGTTTATAAGCCAATCGTGTAGCGTAGGGAGTGCAGAACCAATTACTTTTCCGGGGCCTCATGGTTAGTGCGCTCGCCTCCGGATCGATCGGTCCGGTTTTGAGCCCTGGCCATGGACATTGTGTTGTGTTCTTGAGCAAGACAATTTACTCTCACAGTGCCTCTCTCCATCCTGGTGTACAAATGGGTACTGGCGAATTCAATGCTTGGGGTAACCCTGCGATGAACTAGCATCCCATCCAGGGGGGAGTAGAAATATTTTTAGTCGCTTCATGCTACAAAAACCGGAGATATTATGAGCCATTTAGCTCGTGTGTAGTACATACTGCTCCAACTCAATTAAAAACCGCTCTAAGTAACATTACAGGTACATGATCGAATTGTGGAATATTATAGACAGCTCTATAGAGATTCTACCTCAGTAATCATTTTCTTTCCCAATTTTCCACTTCGTTCCTCGAAGGAGAGAAAGTTGAGCTCGTTCATTGCGTCTGCTTTGGTTGAAACTGTCACAGAGGAGAAACCTGAAGTTCTGATGACATTACTGCGCATGTGGCAGGTATTGTAGACCGGTGCATACTAGCGAACTGTTTCTTGTTTTGTTTTGTTTCTATAACAGCAGTCTCTTTAAATCGTTCCTCGCTTACTTTTGGAGAGATAGCAAATAAGTTGCTGTCCCACGTCACTTTCTTTAAACCTTTTGCCACAGAGTAGCACACTCGATAACAAGGGTTGAATTGGAAATATTCCTTAGAAAGACTTTCCAAGAAAGCCCAATATATCCCAAAAAATTTTCCTTTCGTCTTTGTACCGAAGCAGAGAAAATAAGTCGAGTTACCTGAGAATAATAGCGAGTTACGTAAACTACTGTGACGACAGTGAAGACAAAGTTGACAAACAGAAAAAATTTGGTACGAAGAACAATGGCTAGACACGTGCGTTGTAAATCTTGATACGTTTCTATGCCGTTCTCTTCAAAACAACAACGTGAAAGGACCATATTGTTCGTTTTCTATAAAACGATAACCACGAAGGGAAATTATCAATACTTCTATTAAGAAATGAAAGCCTTCATCACATGTTGAGCTGGGGATAGTTCTGACACCAATAAACACAATGAACAGACCTAGAATTAAAAGTGGAATTTTTAAGTTGGCTGCCCTCGGCGTGGTTACGTAAAGTCATTGACAAGGCATTTCGACTTCGACGTTTCACCCAATCTCGTTCCTAAAGTCCGTGCGTTTTCGGTCAGCTGTGACTGTACGCTCGACGAAACCGGAGCCAGAAAATTCCGGTTCTGGTTTGATTGTGCTCATGCGTTCAAGCTTAACAACGGTTTCTGAACATGCGTGGATCAAGTAACCGTAGTGACTATTGCTGGCTCACTTCCAATTTCTCTCAGAGGTCTCGATTCGTTAGATGGCGATCTCTGGGAACGAGTTTGCGTTTCTCCCGCCAGAATGCCGACGGCTTACGGGAGCGCACTAGTGCCCATACCCTCAGACTACACCTCCCCATTCACGTGCTTTGAGTAAAATAAAGTTTGGTGAATTGAAGCAAATTATTATCCTGGCTCTCTTCTTGTAGATTATCCATAACCTGGAATGTCAACCTGATCCGGCCTCTGTGTGGCAGATGAAGTTAGTGCTGACTTTTTACAGGAATGCGTTTCCAAGAATTTCTAGGGGCATGCTCAGGAAGGTATGTTTTGTGCTACTAACACGCAGGTTCTAGATGTTGAAACCTTCGCCATTGTTCTTGAGCAAGACTGGTCCCCCAGTATCTCTTTTGTAACTCTTCAGGCAACTTTGTTAATGGTGTAGGTTTCTCGTGAGAGTGGGGTGACTTGCGATTAACATGCTCCCTCATTTAACACTAAAATGGATTGTCAGTTAGGTTAAGTTTGTTGCACTGGTAAATTGTAATGTGGGAGGCGCGGGCGCCTCATGGTTAGCGCCCTCGACGCCCGATCGAGCGGTCCGGGTTCAAGCCCTGGCCGGGGACCAAGCATTCTTAGGCAAGACACTTAGTCACTTTCACAATGCATCTCTCCACCCAGGTGTATAAATAGGTACCGGCGAATTTAATGCTGGAGGGTAACCCCGCTTTGTACTATCATCCCATCCAGGGGGGAGTAGAAATATTCCTAGTCGTTTCGTGCTACTGAAACCGGAGATAAGCATCGGTCTGGCGGGCCTCTAGGCTCGTATGCAGACTTAAACCTCACCTCATATTCCTGTAGTGTTGCATGGGTCGTATGCCCTTGGAAGTAACAGTGTACTTTGTCATTAATGCAAACCTCGTTTAACGAAATGGCCCAGCCAACTTCTTCTTGGACGAACTACAAACCAACAAGATTGAAGACCAGATGAGACCTTAAGTAAATTACATTGGTGTTAAATTTGTTTCCACTTCTTGGGTACAAGATAAATAATTAACATCAAGGTAGAGTTCACTAAAATTGTAATTCATTTTCTTCATAGCCTCTCGTTAACGCCGACTTCATCGAAGAATACAAGTTTCTTTTGGAAGAATCCATCGATCGCCTTATGCTGAAAGGTAAGCTTAGTTTCATTGTGACAGTTCTACACATATAAACAGGTATTAGACTTTATAATGCCCCAGCTCTAGTTTTGGAGTCAGAATGTGCTCAGATTGCAAAACTACATAAAAGAAATCACAAAAAAATCTGCATTATTTTTGCGATCAGAATGTATGACTGAGCCTGCGATTTTTAGCGGATATTTTGTCTACCAGCGTGGCCTTCTTAGTGGTCTTGAAGTCTTATTTATCGGATAACGATATTTTTTTCTTAAGGGCCCATTAACCGATTTATGCGCGCGCCCGCGCGCGTTGTTAAGGAGGTGAAATTTCACTTCCGGTTACTTACGTCAGCCTGAGCGCGGAAAATAAAAACAACTCAATAACTTCCAAATTCGCTAACATT